GTAGTATCCTTTTACATAGCTTTATTACTACTAGCTTTTTTTTTTMTTTTCCTTTATTAATTTCCCAAAATGGGCAACATTTAAAATTTCAACCAGCTGGAATAAAAACTAAAGATAAGAATTACATATCAATATAACTTAGAACAACTCATGAAACAACAATTTGATCAAGATAATCTGGAAGGAAAGGAAGTAACCTTAGAATTGAATGTACCGGAACCATGTTAACAAATATGACTCAGAATTTGACGGGTTCAAGATAGCAGATGGTTGGATCAGCCGACCAACACCGTCTTTATCTAGACCAGCAAGCTTAGCTCGAAGGAGAAGCTGAATCTCTTTGACAACTGCTTGTTGCGTCTTCACCTGTGAGGAGTGGAGCCTGTAATTACGCTCCTTCCAAATATAATACACCACTGCATGAAAAATGAGTTTCACAATTGATTTGAGCTTCTTGTTTCTAGTTGAAGATTGTACCCAGGAAACAATATCCTCAAAGAGCACCGGAGGAGAAAGTTCCGGATGGTTAAAAAAGGCCGTCCAGACCTCATTTGAATAACTGCAATTGAAAAAGAGATGCCCTCTTGATTCCGATGCTGAGGCGCACAGAAGGCAACCAGGTGGAATATCAAGTCCCCATCCTCTTAAACGATCACGAGTAGTCAGCCTATCACGCATTGTTATCCAAAGCATAAAAGCATGCTTAGGAATCCGTTGCTTAAACCAAACTGAGCTGAACCATGATACACTAGGAGATGGCGGATGTAAAGAGAGCCAAGTCTTAGAGGATGAAAACACACCTGGAGGATCCAATAAAGAATTTTTTCAGAGATATAAATCATCTTCAGTAGAGAAAAGAGGAGCAGTTGGAATGCAAGATCTAAGCAATACCAAAATAGGATGCCTTCCTCTAGACCTCAACCAAAAATCAGTTTCAAGAGCTTGAAAAACCGATGATGCAGATGAAATTCCAGTAACTCGAGGACCATTAGAACCTGTAATGTCTATTAAGGGATCAAGCGTTGTCCAATTATCATGCCAGAAGAGACATCTCCTTCCCGATGCTACCTGACAAGATAAATAAGGCCGAGCCAAAGTCCTCAACTTCATCAACCGTCTCCAAATCCAAAACAGTCCAAAACTACTAGCTTTGTATTGTAATGTTTTTAGTTTCCTCTCTTATGTTTACGTAAGTTTACATACTTGTTTTTTTTTTTTTTGGACTTATATATATAACTGTAAAATAGAGAACATAAACTCTCTTCTTTTTTTTTATTATCATTACGCCCTTTTTATTGGATTTTTTTTTAACATAAACATAAAGTTAAAACTGTAGACAAGATTACGAATCTTCCACGAAAATTTTATTTTAATCAATCTCTCCTTCCGCGAGCTTCCATAGATGGCATCCCACGTGAGACTCTACGCATGCATGAATATATCATTAGAACAATACTCATAGATAAGGAATGATCAGAACATTTAATCATTTAGAAGCATCATTGTTTAGAAGCATCGACATTAATACCAGATCTCCATTCCGCCGGATACATTGTTTAGAAGCATCGACAGAGGTGTCATTAGTACCATTAACTCTAGAAGACACAAGAGGCATTGGAGAAACCTAATGCTTGCTTGGTTAGAGTAGAATCCTCTACTTCAGTCCACTCTTATGTAACCTTGTTTTTTATTTTTTTTTTGCCAAGGTTCCATGCTATAGGTAGGACTATTTTGTAATACCTCAACTTTCATTGCTTAATGATATTTACATTCTTAGCAACAAAAAAAAAAAAAACATTTAATCATTTAAGTAGAAAGTATGAGAGTGAGTAGAGAAAATAGAGCTAGTACCGTGGTGGGGAATTAGTAAGGGCAGGGATGGGGCTATCGCATTTGATTTGGCAACTTTCATAGCAATCGCCGTCGTCAGGTCTAGAAGGTTTTAAACAATTTCGAAAACATATAATCGACTCTTTCTTTTTATCTGCTTCT